ATGATAATAAATAAATAAATAAATAATGATAATAATAATTATTATTATAGTAATAATAATAATATTAATAATGATAATAATAATAATAATAGCAATAATAATAATAATAATAATAATAATAATAATAATAATAATAATAATAATAATGATAATAGTAATAACAATAATAATAATGATAATAATAATATTAATGATAATGATAATGTTAATAATGATAATAATGATAATAATAATAATAATATTAATAATAATAATAATAATAATAATAATAATAACAATAATAATAATAATAATGATAATAGTAATAACAATAATAATAATGATAATAATAATATTAATGATAATGATAATAATAATAATGATAATAATGATGATAATAATAGTAATAATAATATTGTGTGTGTATATAAGCAAAGAATCTGCAAGAAAAGGTTGATGAAGCCAGCCTCAGATAATGGAAGAAGCAAAAAAGATGACAGCTCCATGTGCTAATGTATCTAAAGAAAATGAAACTTTAAATGATATGGATAAAAAAGTTTGAAAAAAAGCTATCAAAATCACAAAGGAAGAAATAAAGGCAACTTGCAGATACGGTAAAGACAAATGAATTTAAGTCACACCTTGAGCAACATGTAATGAATATTGCTAATTCGGCTGAGGTAAACAAAGACATAGTCATTTGGGACATGAAGAAAAAATTGAAGATGGAATCGAACTATATAACGAAGACAAGAAATTGATTATCAATATTCTCAATCCCGAATTCTTGGAGCAGAATATAATAGCTCACAGGGGGTTAGGATTATTCGAAAAGGGAACATAAATCAATAAAAAAAATGGAAAATGGTGTAATAAAGAAAGCTAAAGTCCTGGCCATCTACGAAGGATATTAGAAAATCTGGATAAGAGAAAATATGACCAGAGAAATACTGCAGAAAAAATACCGGATGAACTAAAAAAAAACAAAAAAACGAACAAGACACCGAGGAAGAAAAAACAATACGTTAATTTTGAGAGTAAGAGGCATCCAGGCAAAACAGACAAACATTAGCCTTGCAGCCAAAAGGAAATACCGAAAGATTATATAACAATTGTTTATACAAAATTGACTGGGAAAGTATCGATCCCAGAGCTCAGCCAGATTCGTTGAATATGAATGCATAAATCATAAATGAATTTTGTCTCTTCCAAAACGTATCAGATCATACCTGGATAAGAGGGCTAGATAGACCGTCTATGCTTGATCTTATATTTACAATTCATAAAGCTGACATTAGAGATATGGATTACTGCCCTTCTCTAGGAAATGGTGATCATGCAGTACTTAAGTTAAAATAATGTCTGCTACAGAGAAAAACTCATCGTAAGTAAGGAGACAAAAGGAAAGTACATTTACAAGAGAGGTAATTATAGAAGCCTTAAAGATTTCTTTGATGGCATAAACTGGGAAACACCCTTGAACTAAGATAACCTTGATATGCAATATTCTAAATCTAAAAGTTCATAAAAAGGGAGTAGAAAATATTGCATCAAAATAAAAAAAATAGAGCAAGAAATGGACAAAAGTGGTTCAGTGATTAATGCAAGAAATGAGAGAAAACAAACAGCTCCTGTGGCAAAAATTCAGAAGACGTAGATCTCAGAAAGCGCGTGAAAGGTATAAAGTAGGAAGAAATGAATTTACCCAAACATGAGGGAGGCGAAATTAGACTGAAATAGATATAATCAATAAATGCACAAATAAACCCAAGCTCTTCTTTAACTACATAAATAGTAAGACCTAGAGTAGCGTCAAATTAGCGCCATCAAAAACAATAACATCGTATATACTAATAATGTGATAATGTGTGAAATCCCATACTTTGAAATGGCAAGTAACCGTACAAACGTAAATCAGAATATGGAAAATATTACACTTAAAAAGACTGAAATAAAAGATCTACTGAAGTGTTGAAAAAACTAAAGCAGAGGGACAGATAATGTATCTAACTGGGTTCTGAGGGAATGTGCCAAAGAAGCTATATACTCCGTTTTTGTTAATATTCCAAAATACAGTGAAGCAAGGCTAACTACCAGAAGCTTGGAAACTCGCCAATGTTACATTACAACTTTATACAAGAGCGGATACAAACAAAACCCTCTAAATTATAGACCAACTTGAATACTTACTAGTGTAAGTATGCAAGCTATTAGAAAGGATAATAAAGCAACACTGAGTTGAAATACTTGAAAAGCAATTTGGTTTTAGGGAAGGAAGGTTATACGTAGCAAATCTCCTCTGTGTCTATGATAGAGTGTCTGAAATATTACAAGAAAGAGACGGCCAGGTGGATAGTATATACTTAGATTTTAAGGAGGCATTTGATAAGGTATCTCATAGAAGACTATTATGGAATTCAGAATGGATGGAAGACTTTTTTCATGAAGGACAGGTGAGCACTGTAATTAGAGGGAAGCACTCTACATGGCGACGAGTCAAGGATCGGTCTTGGCGCCGATTATTTTTACTATTTTCATTAATGATTTTAGGTCAAACATAGGCCAAATAGCAAAAAATGATAACAGACAATGTCTCATGCCAATGCCTCCAAGGTGACATCGAAAACTTTATTCATACGGAGTTGTACTTGGAAAATGGAACTCAAATAAGCAAATAAATACTATGTAGTCAGATTCAGAGAAAATAAAAATCGTCCACTGTACCAATACAAAATAGGAGACGTAATATTAAGCCCAGCAGATAAGGAAAAAGACCTTGAGACCCTAGGCCAAATGATCATATAATTGACAAGGTCCATAAAATGTATGTAGACGAAGATATGGTAAAGAATATCATTACCGCCATCATAAGACCTCGTCTAGATTATGGTGCATTGGAGTCCACTCTTTAAAAAGGATATAGATAAATTAGAAAGAGTTTAAAGAGCAGCAATATCTATTGGGCATCTACTCTAAGAGATATGTGCTACGAAGAAAGACTACAGAAAATGTAGTCTTACTACTTTGGAAGAAAGAAGAAAAAGAGGTGACATGATTATGATATTTAACCATGTCACAGGAAGGTTGAAGTTATATATCTTTTAATTTAGAACACAAGAAGGACGAGAGGACACAGTAAAAAGTTGAAAGTAAAAAGAGGAAAGAAAGATGTTGAAAATGTTCAGTTTCCCAAAAAGAACTATTGAAACATGGAACAATCTTCCAAATAACGTTGTGTGTACGAAAAATGCGCATCAATTTAAACAGTTATGCGATAATTTAAATATACCAAACTGGCCCATCTGTGCTTAGCTCTTCTCCAGTAGTGAAACAACTGTGTAGGTAAGGTAAGAACACATACGCACACACACACACACGTGATTCTTATGGATATGTACCAGTGCAGGTAGCTGTTTTACTACAAAAATACATTCATTAAATGATAATGATAAAACGGAATGCTAATTATTATGTGTTTCATCCGTTGAGGTTGAGAGAACGCCTGGTAATAAATATAGGTTCATTTGAAGGAGCAATTCTACAGCAACTCTATATTGAATACAAAATACCGATTTGATATTGTTTGCTAATATTTCATAACGCCTCTGGCATTTCCCGCATGACGTCACACAGTTTTCCCGCATTACGTCACAGTTTTCCCGCATGACGTCTCAGTTTTCCCGCATGACGTCTCAGTTTTTTTTGCGTGACGCCACAGTATTCCATGCAACGTCGCACGTCACAAATAATTAGTTCTAATAAAATTCTTATCTATACAAGCTGTTTTTGTTAATTGTTCCGTGGTTATGACTGACTAACTGAAAAAAATCTAATAGCACTAAATTGTCACAAGAAATGCAAATGAATAGATCAGACACTTAAAAATAAAGGCAGGTACAGTAATTTTCACTAGAGCTAAATCTCAAATCGACACTCACACCCACACATCTATCTATCTATCTATCTATCTATCTATCTATCTATATATATATATATATATATATATATATATATAGAGAGAGAGAGAGAGAGAGAGAGAGAGAGAGAGAATATATAGAAGGGTTGATTTAAGATATATCTAGATCTGTATTCATATCTATGTCTATCTATCTACACACACACACACACACTCATATACACATACACACGCACACGCACACGCACACGCACATACACGCATATATATATGTGTGTGTGTGTGTATAGATAGATGAGTTCGAGTCACTGGCCGGCGCGTTGATCCCCTGGGCAGGGAACTTCACCTCGATTACCTACAGGTAACCAGATAAGGGAAACGTGAAGCTACGGTGGATTCAGGCAAGAGCAGAGAGCGCGCTCACTGGATGAACCACGCGATGCCGAACAGAAGATCCACGTCATGGTCACTGGTCAATAATCACCCGTCTACTATAGACACTGCTACTGAAGAAAGCAGCGGGAACCTACTTCAGTACGTCTCCACCAAGGTCTCAAAGGAGCACTCAGAACAGCGTGAAGGATCTCGCCACTTGGTGACAGCGGCTGGGACACCAGCTACAAGAATTGCTGCGTTGCGCGTGGTCACGGTGGACATATATGGTCATTCGTCAAGGTTGTTCAATTCTGAACTATCTGTCTTTGATGATGATATATATATATATATATATATATATATATATATATATATGTGTGTGTGTGTGTGTGTGTGTGTGTGTGTGTGTGTGTGTGTGCATGTGTGTGTGTGTATTCTTCATAATCATGACAGCAATAAAAACAGTATTTTTATAATCATTCGTTTAACTCTCTGCTTTTATTTCAATAAGCCGCTAAAAGTTCATTTCCACGCCACTCAAGTAATAGAATAACAATAACAACAAAAAACAAGCAAAACAGAACAAAGAGAATAAAAAAGAAAGAATCTGAGACAATGCTGACTAATTTTCTCAGGAATCGCCTTAGTCTCGCGCACTGCAGAAAGCAGAGCAGCTGAGCCTCCCAAGGGTCCGCCGCCGATGCCCTTAGGGCGGCCACCCTCCGCGCGCTTACTTGGAGGGCGTCCCGTAGGACAGGGACGGCTTCGACCCAGCCCCCGAGCCCGAGAAGCCTGATCCTTGACCTTGGCCGAACCCTCCGGAGCCTCCGCCCTGACCTCCGTACTGACCGCCTCCTCCCTGTCCTCCTGCTCCTCCGCCTCCGCCTCCGCCTCCGCCTCCGCCCTGTCCCTGGCCATACTGGCCCTGGCCTCCGGCCGTGATCTCGCCCTCGAACGACACGGTGGGGTGGAAGCCGGCGCTGTCCACGAAGTACTCGACCACCAGGCGGCGCCCGTCGGGAAGCTGCACGTAGTACCTGCGGATAGGATTTATTGAGACACTAATTATTGCTTTATATTCCACTTATCTGTTTTATGCCCTTCCCACTTTTTGTAGAACAAAAAGACTCAATGAATATCTCTTGGGGCTGTTTGAGTGACTACCTATCTGCTGTGCGACCTTGAGTATTCTGTGACGTCCCACAGAGACCTGGCTCAGAAGATGCCGATGCTCGCGCTTCGGCTCTGCCAGGCGACTCACCTTCCCTGCGTGTCGTCATTCTGCCTTTCCTCGCCGTGGCCGTAGAAGTTGCGAGAGGGGCCGTCGTTGACGTCCCACTGGAAGCTGTACTGGGCGGGGGCAGAGGGATACACTGCCCCTCCTCCTCCTCCTCCACCACCTCCTCCTCCTCCCCCACCTCCTCCTCCGCCCGATCCGCCACCGAAGAAGCCTGACCCCGACCCCGACCCCTGCCCTACAGGGCCCGAGTAGTCATAGCCGTCCACTGGCGGACTCGCGGCCCAGGACGTCGACGCCACCGTCAGCACAAGGATCAAGGCCTGGCACGGAAAAAAAATGGTTACAACAAACCAAGAGATCCCATGAACTGGACACCATGACATAACATGCATCGATGTCGCCCACTGGCAAAGATCTATTCGTAGCAACTGAATCAAAAGCAAAACAGTTTCAGGGTTCCTGAAACGAGCTGTACCTTCAT